TGTAAATGAGGACACAAAGGTGGACAACTGCCCGAGTAGTCATTACTATCGCCAGCGAATCCAGATACAGAAATCTCGTAGGCTAATGATTTGAAAACATCATAGAAAGCAGGCACGGAACAGACTCAAATGTGCTGACTAGGCTCCACGTCTGAGGTCGAGTAGTAGTAGCCCTGAGTCGTTCCCAGATCATCCGTGCCGTGCAATTAACCACGAGTCGGGATGTAAGATGCTGAGACGAAACCAAGCAACTCCACCTTTTACCTTTGGTACATTACTCTGAGGATGATGTGAAGACTTCAAGTGAAAATTCATCCTATCGAGTAAGGGTTGATATGGAAGCATAAGAGAGCAGTTCGTTGGTGTAATTGGCGTAGTTCCATACTTGTGAATCGCTCACACTTTGCTACCCTCTAAGATTAGTTTATCCTCAGTGGCTATTTATTCCGTGACGGGTAGATGCCTGTGGGTACTAGTCAAAGGCTGGGATGGGCACGTAATTGCGAGGGGTGACAGGGTTGCAAACACGTGCAGTTGCCACTACTCAGTGTGATTGTTTCCACCTTTAGTAAAACCGAAATCCCCATTTAACCACCCACGCCTACCAGACTCAACATCGCCATTTCCTAATATCCCTTACCTGGCACTACGTGATTCTTCATAAATGTAAGCAGACCAAGAACACGCAGGCGGCATTCACGATTCCACTGAAGCGATTCATCAACCTGCAAAAGTGACACCTTTGGAAAAAGCAGGTTCAGAATAACCCAAGGAGGTTTCATTTGGTTTGCATTCAGCTTTGTTTACCCAGGCAAGACGGCTGATGAAATGATGGATACTCTCGTGGACTTTGCTGTGCCAATCCCACGAGGCAGCTATGCGAAAGCTACACAACATGAGGTTAGCAGGTGATTGACGTGATTGGTACTGTCATTGCTAGATTGACACGGCTCATCATTGATCATCTATGCTGAGGCGAGTGTTGGCATCGCACATGTATAACAGACTGTCATAACATGTGTGCCTGCGACTAACGAAGGAGTGAGAACACACCCATCACCCTTGGATTGAGCAGTTGCACTGTGCCATAATAAGGCGACTGCATGAACGCTCTTTTGGGTGAAGCAAAGGCCACTTCAGTTGGCCCCACCTTGTCTTCCCATATGACATTCCCTATCCCCACCACTGCTTGCTGCGATGTGTAGGCATTTGGAGCTGTCGGAAAGGGAACGATTTGGAGGAAGCATGCAGTTTGTGGAAAGAGAAGGGAATGGAAGCATTACACGTCTGCATTTGTGCAGCATGGACTGATAAACAGCGCAAGTTAACAAAATCTGTCCCTGCAAAGACGACTTCGCAGATGACGGAGGTATAGATGAGTTGTCAGTGTAACATTTTTAGGCTATGGTGATTCACTTACACTTCATTCGTAGCATAGTGAATAGCGAAGTGTGTGTGTGTGTGTGTGTGTGTGGAAGAATTGAGTGCTTACGTAAGTATGGAGTGTCTAAATTGAAATGGCTATTGGTTTGTAGAAGGTGGCACAAATGTTTGCATTAATAATGTTCTGTTGAGCAATTTCTCAGCTTCTCCTAAACACAGTATGCGTAAAGATTGAAAGGGCTGCATGTTTAGTTTGGTGGACAACGTGGCACTCCCAACCACCGTGAGTGTTGGTGAAGAATAAATACTTCTGCATACTGGACTACCCACTTACTACCTCAGAGAGTGCTCCAGGTTCTCCAGTGTCAGCTGTGATCATGAAGTTGGTGGTGCACAGTCAATTGTCTCTCCATCACACCGTTTGCAATTCGAATACTCTGGAAGTGAGCAAACCCGTGCAGCCAGTTCCAAACAGTGACTACTGCTAAGGATGCATCAATTTGCACAATATTCTTTAAATATTTCATGCGGAAATTGTTGCCTCGAATCCGAATTTTACAATTAGCGTGCGGATATTAGTCATTTGAGAGCAGATGGCTTCAATGAAACGAACAGGCCTCATTACCATTCCAATGGCAAAATATTCGGTGAATTGCAAAGGGTAGAACAAAGTGTGCTTAGGAGTGTGTGTAGAACGTTGGTAGTAGTGGTGAAGAGGATCAATTGTGAAAAGGCTAATCAGGAGAGCGCTTTAGGGGTAGTGGGTGTTCACAGATCCAGCTACGCACATCCAGTGAGGCACATGGTACCTGCGGAACCTCACCCTAATTTTAATCACTGTACGAGGAAAGCAGGACTTCACACGAACAGTGTGCATCTGCCTCACTTGGGTCGGTGTCAATACCATAGCCGAGAAGTTATCACAGTCCCCGTCAAGTGGCAATGGAAAAGGCAAGAACTACTATAACAATCCGTTCATTGAGTTCCATATTCCATCTTATTCACCACAAAACGATGTCGGAAGGAGGCACAACTAATGCATTGATGCATTTGGTATCGCATGATTGCACGAAGATAAGGGACTCTTTGGTAGGGCCAGCGTTATGATAAGGTAATTGTGTGTCTTCTTCCACACGTCCACATGATGCCATCCAGAGAAGCCACTGCGCCTGTCATTGGGGACGACACGTGAAGTCACCTGCGGTGTGCGGAGAGTACACTCATGACTGTCAGAGTAGGGACAACGATAAACTTGGTGGTGGTCCCATTCTCACACATTTGTAATGGTTTGACTGACCCTGAGCTCGCAGTGGATATGAGCTCAGTGCAAGTGCCCTCCTATAGCCAATCAGTGCTCACTGGTCAATGTTCCAGATCAGTCAAATGACTGCGAAAGAAGTCATGTGGACAGTGAAATCACTTTATGCAAGCACCGCTTATATCGTCAAACCGAATAACCTCTCGAGTGTGGATCACCCAGATGAAGTGGCATGAGAAGATACGGGCTGAGGTGAGGTGAGGTGAGCTGAGCTGAGCTGAGGAAGGTTAGAGAGGGATGTGAGAAGAGGCTGTTTGCTAGTTGGCAAGTCACGTCGTCGGTGCGAAAGTGTGGGCGGTAGTTGTTACGGCGTTTGGAGCCGTTCTTTCTTCCGTCTGTCAGTTGGCCGCGTTTGTGCTTTCTTGGAATCACCGTCGACTAAAATAATCATGCTCATGGCGTTTGCTGAACTGTTTGCCTTTTGTTTTGCCCCACATCCTCTTTGCGTGTCCTTTAACGTAGGTAATAGATACACTCTCATAACTGTTCGCTGCCGTCCATTTTATTACTGCACTTTTTCCGCATTTCAATGGCAGTTGGTTTGAATGTTCTGTTTAAATGCCATCAAGCCTTGGTCTGCTGAACATCTCTTTCGATCTCTAAGTTGCAAGGCTAGCTGCACTGTGCCGTAATGAACTAAATCGCTCGTTTATTTGCCATCTAATTGTACACATTTCTCATTTACAATGCACGTTTGCACAGTGTATTGTTGGAGGCCTAGTCAGGGTCTCTTTGGCACTGTCAAGATACGCTATCAACAAAGACAATACCCTTAGTGACGTCCGACTGCGCAGTTCGTCGACTAACTTCTCCAGGGACGAGCCGAGATCAAGCTGTTTCCAACTCAATGCCTTGAGTGTGAGTCCCTTTCCCCATTACCATCATTATCAACTTGCACGTAGTAACGGTATCCAAGGCCTTATTAACCACACCTATTACAC